AATCACCAATGGAAAGCGTGACCAGCTGACTTCAGCCCACTCACATACTGCCTCTTGAAGGTTGAGGCCACACCGATGGACGTCAGTCAGTCAATTACTTTTTTGCTCTTAACGAGGGTCACCCACGGTGATGTAAACGTTATTAAAAAAAACAATTGGTGTTGTCTTCTTCGCCACTACTCAAACCCAGGGATAAAGGCCACTTTCAGAATTGATCATTTCTCTTCGGTGTTCAGTCAACTGTAGCCAGCGTCTGTTTAAGCAGCACACTACGAGTCCCCGTGTCTCCTTTGTTTCCCCAATCATCATGAAGTATTTGCTTCTGTTTTATATCCAGCCCCGAATCGGCCGCCACCTACATATACCCAACAACCCACTCCTCCGGTAAACCAACCGCCCGTTGGGGGCACTGCTCCACCCATGAGCATGCCTCCAGGACAACCTGGCTACGGGTGGCCGCCTCAACCTCCTGTTGGTTATGGTTAGTTCACGTTTGCTTCATCCTTTCAGTTATTCACCTTCTAATCGTACGCTTTGGAAAGTACAGTCATCGTTTAATTATTGCAACGTTTATTGAGCTTTCCGGGTGAGCCGCGCACTTTTTAATCTGAACACGAATAAGTAGATGCTTCTTCTGGTGCAAATGTAATTCGTAGGAAAAGTGTCATAGCACGCAGGCTGCCCATCCCGTCGTTAAACTTAGTATTTTACAAACTTTTTTCCCGAACGGAATAAGAAGCTAATCAAAATCCACAATAGCTAATCAGCTTATGTAAGAGTCCTAGTAGTCCATGCTACCCTAATGTTGCATACCACTCATCGTGAGATATGTTTCACGTTTCAAAGACGGTTGAGCCGGTTTGTCCCATGTTTCGCACTACGCGCTCACCACAGCGTCTGTATTCAACAATGGTTGACCAACCGCTTCTTGATTCTGTTCCCCAATCTCAATCGTTACTCAGCTGAAGAGAAGAAAGTCGATCTTGTGTTCTACCTGAGGGGGACGCTTGCTGTAAATTACGTTCCTCAAACTCTCTCATCTTGGAGGACAGTGTGTGCCGACCTTGTCTATTTTCTGAATGGCAAGCGTGCTTTCAAGTGGATTATTGTGACATGTTGATATAGGAATGATTGGAAAGATGTAAGTTGTGTTAGCTCGAGCTCCCAACATGTGTGGTTGTGAGACGGTCTCTGCAGACAGATAATGTAAGGCGTCTTCAGGTTTTTTACCAACAATTTCTGTGCATGCCGAATTATCATCTACCGACATGAGTGTTGTTATCCATGCCTCCTTCGGAATGGCACTTGGGATGCGTTTCACGTTCCAAAGGTATTTGAGTCGGTTTCTCCCATGTTTCGTACCATACACGGGCCATGGGGTTTGTATTCCACAATGTTCGACCAGCTATCTTTTGATTGATATAATCGTCAGACAAAACCGATTGTCAGAAACAGAGCGACAACGTTAACGACCATTACGATGAGAAGAATAATGCCTGAGGAAGGTCTCTTGCGTTTCCAAGGGAACATTTTTATTTACTGTCGCGTGCAAAGCATACTTTTTACCAATGGACTGCAACATGTTCCCTTCGATCTGCTGGATACATCTAGAGATAAGCAGAAGCATGGTTGACGAAACGAAAGTGAAGAACCTTACAGTGCTGGTCGCAAATACACGGTGTCGTCTTTAAACACAATCCAGAGCCCCATTCAAGCCAGGTGTCATCTTACCTACGGTTCACAGCTGTTTGAGTAACATGATATGAGAATGTACAATATTGCTCGAGCATTGGTTAAAAGACGAGGCATTCATACGTCTCTGCGCATGGACCCGAATATCTACGACAAGCACATCAGCAACAACAGAAGGGAGCTGCAAGTCATTCTGCAGGCACACACGCTTGCACCAGACTAGGCCAGAAACTACTGCGAATCGCACACCGGAGGTCAATTGCCAGAAAATATAGTCTTTGGTCTGTTTGATTTAACCAACCACCGTACCTTGTTCGTTCTATGAAGACCGAAGGAAATTAGGGGAAGAAGATGTCGCAAGAAATGGCGACTAATCGATGCCAGTAGCGTCCCGTGTCGCTGTTTCTTTCCCGGTTGCCTGAGCGAGCGCTTCGGAATGTAGGCACCTCAGAATGGTTGAGATAGGCCAATACCAGTTCCCCCCTCACCCACTCTCCTCTCTTCTTTTTTACTTTAAGGATTTAAGTATAATTAGATAAAATTGTGAAGAACAGTGTGTCAACACTGATGTTGCTGTCTCTATTGATGATGATGATGAGCTCTCAAATTGTTGATTTTGATTTTTTGCCTCTCAAGCATCTTCAGTGTACTTTCCATTTCGCATATGCACTCGTTATCACTTTTTGATGCGTCGTACCTGTTGATCCCATACATCGTGCAGGTGGAATGATGCCCCCATATCCTCAGTACGGTAAGGATTTCTTTGTTTTTTGAGGGTGTATACAGGTTTCTCGTCGAAGTGACTTGGTGCATGTTCTTTGCAATGTCTTTGTGTGTGATGTATTTACTTTGTCAGTTTTATTCGTGTTGTTTCACTGCATTTACCTGATTGTTTTTGCATTCAACATTACCTGTCGCTTGAGTTTTCTTTTGGAATCTTGTTTTCTCGGCGCAGCAAGCCTTGTAGTTTCTTTTTTCTAATGCACTTTGATGTTTTTGTTGACCGCCATAGTGCGGACCAACGTCGGTCGCGATTTCAGGAACGAGAATTCCGTTTTGTACGATAATATGGTGTTTCAGTGTGGGTTTTGTCCTGCAAGGCCAAGTCGCCCTGAACTAAAGGCATCGAAGCACTGTTTCGTTTTCATTATCATCAGTAACTCATCTCACTCACCTAGGGGATGGTTTGAACGTGTATGGTGGTTAAACACCACTTTTTGGCCTCGAGTTGCTGGTCAGAAAAGTTTCGGATACCACACAATCATTCCATTACTGTCTAGCCTGTGACGTGTTTTGCTTTGTGTGACCGTTGAGCTTTAGCCGACTTGTAACGCTGACGTGATAGGCCCCGTTGACTACGAAGAGAAGAAAGTCGATCTTGTGTTCTACCTGAGGGGGACGCTTGCTGTAAATTACGTTCCTCAAACTCTCTCATCTTGGAGGACAGTGTGTGCCAACCTTGTCTATTTTCTGAATGGCAAGCGTGCTTTCAAGTGGATTATTGTGACATGTTGATATAGGAATGATTGGAAAGATGTAAGTTGTGTTAGCTCGAGCTCCCAACATGTGTGGTTGTGAGACGGTCTCTGCAGACAGATAATGTAAGGCGTCTTCAGGTTTTTTACCAACAATTTCTGTGCATGCCGAATTATCATCTACCGACATGAGTGTTGTTATCCATGCCTCCTTCGGAATGGCACTTGGGATGCGTTTCACGTTCCAAAGGTATTTGAGTCGGTTTCTCCCATGTTTCGTACCATACACGGGCCATGGGGTTTGTATTCCACAATGTTCGACCAGCTATCTTTTGATTGATATAATCGTCAGACAAAACCGATTGTCAGAAACAGAGCGACAACATTAACGACCATTACGATGAGAAGAATAATGCCTGAGGAAGGTCTCTTGCGTTTCCAAGGGAACATTTTTATTTACTGTCGCGTGCAAAGCATACTTTTTACCAATGGACTGCAACATGTTCCCTTCGATCTGCTGGATACATCTAGAGATAAGCAGAAGCATGGTTGACGAAACGAAAGTGAAGAACCTTACAGTGCTGGTCGCAAATACACGGTGTCGTCTTTAAACACAATCCAGAGCCCCATTCAAGCCAGGTGTCATCTTACCTACGGTTCACAGCTGTTTGAGTAACATGATATGAGAATGTACAATATTGCTCGAGCATTGGTTAAAAGACGAGGCATTCATACGTCTCTGCGCATGGACCCGAATATCTACGACAAGCACATCAGCAACAACAGAAGGGAGCTGCAAGTCATTCTGCAGGCACACACGCTTGCACCAGACTAGGCCAGAAACTACTGCGAATCGCACACCGGAGGTCAATTGCCAGAAAATATAGTCTTTGGTCTGTTTGATTTAACCAACCACCGTACCTTGTTCGTTCTATGAAGACCGAAGGAAATTAGGGGAAGAAGATGTCGCAAGAAATGGCGACTAATCGATGCCAGTAGCGTCCGTGTCGCTAGTTTCTTTCCCGGTTGCCTGAGCGAGCGCTTCGGAATGTAGGCACCTCAGAATGGTTGAGATAGGCCAATACCAGTTCCCCCGTCACCCACTCTCCTCTCTTCTTTTTTACTTTAAGGATTTAAGTATAATTAGATAAAACTGTGAAGAACAGTGTGTCAACACTGATGTTGCTGTCTCTATTGATGATAATGATGAGCTCTCAAATTGTTGATTTTGATTTTTTGCCTCTCAAGCATCTTCAGTGTACTTTCCATTTCGCATATGCACTCGTTATCACTTTTTGATGCGTCGTACCTGTTGATCCCATACATCGTGCAGGTGGAATGATGCCCCCATATCCTCAGTACGGTAAGGATTTCTTTGTTTTTTGAGGGTGTATACAGGTTTCTCGTCGAAGTGACTTGGTGCATGTTCTTTGCAATGTCTTTGTGTGTGATGTATTTACTTTGTCAGTTTTATTCGTGTTGTTTCACTGCATTTACCTGATTGTTTTTGCATTCAACATTACCTGTCGCTTGAGTTTTCTTTTGGAATCTTGTTTTCTCGGCGCAGCAAGCCTTGTAGTTTCTTTTTTCTAATGCACTTTGATGTTTTTGTTGACCGCCATAGTGCGGACCAACGTCGGTCGCGATTTCAGGAACGAGAATTCCGTTTTGTACGATAATATGGTGTTTCAGTGTGGGTTTTGTCCTGCAAGGCCAAGTCGCCCTGAACTAAAGGCATCGAAGCACTGTTTCGTTTTCATTATCATCAGTAACTCATCTCACTCACCTAGGGGATGGTTTGAACGTGTATGGTGGTTAAACACCACTTTTTGGCCTCGAGTTGCTGGTCAGAAAAGTTTCGGATACCACACAATCATTCCATTACTGTCTAGCCTGTGACGTGTTTTGCTTTGTGTGACCGTTGAGCTTTAGCCGACTTGTAACGCTGACGTGATAGGCCCCGTTGATTACAAACGCCAGAGTTCTTGTACAACAGCGTGTGTAGAACAGTCGTGTTTGCTGTAGGCCCCTGTCGATTGATACTACCCTAGTGAGTGCGAGGCTTTGTAATCTATTGATTTTGACAACCGTCGCCTGTGTATCTACGATTGCGAAGGACTGGATGCAGTGGTACGCAAGGAGATCATATTCAACATTTATTGCTGAGGTGTTTGGATTCTTTTTTTTGGGTGATCGGCCTTGACTCGTCTGTGGAGTAATTAGTATTACTTGTGAGGAAACTTCATTGTGCGGATGGAACAAAGACGTACAGAGGCCTGCAGTGTGCACATGAATTTTACGGTAAAGACCACCCTGTTAAATTTGTGGCGGTGTGCGTCAAGGATGAACATATTCAGGCAAAACTGTCGAGAGTTTGATTTTGTGACCTTGGAAAATGCCTAATTTCCGGTAATAGAACGAACGAATTTTAGAATCAGATTACCGATCCCATCACGTGTAAACGCTGCATAATCAAGACCTTAAACACAAGTCTCAGATTAACAAGCAACATTGAGATTGATAAGGTGCCACACACGACCACACATGAGCAAAGAGCTCAATAAATAATAATAAATAATAAATAAATATTGTCCAAGTTCGTGGTGCGTTGAATGATATAAGGCTTATTCGCTAAAGGATACAACGTCACTATTTATCGCTTTTTTGCGAGTTATGTTGCTAATAAAGCGGAAAACAGTTGTGCCTGAAACTGTCCAGCAAATCACTGAAATCTTTAAGCTTTCAGGTGACTGGAATTTGTGAAACCAGCCGCTTGCGTGAAAAAAACGTGTGGATCCAGCTCTACAGAAAGTTTTCATCAGCATTGGGCCCATCGTTTGGCCAAAATGTAAGCTATTTGCAACGCGAAATTTAAAATGTTCCATACACTAGTACTTCTTCAGGCAGCAAATACTGCCATCTACGACTATTACTGCATGGTGACTTGTTAAACGGATTCGCAGTGGTAGCCCAGCATAATCATAAGCTGTAAGGAGCACTTCAGTCTGATCACATTTAGACGTTCCTAGCATTAGAATCAAAGAAGTAAAACTTTATCATGTTGGATTTTTCTAATGGGGTCCCACAGGACACGATCCGTTTTCATGGCAGCTTGATTGGTATACAAAAGTTACCGGACTTCCTGTGCGAAGGCTATAATGCGCTGGCTCAAAATGGTTTGTGCGTCCCAACGGCTTCAGAAAGATATTTCCTCTGTTAAACTATGGGGGCGAGATGGCTCAAGTTGTTAGAGCGCGAATTTACTGACCGGAAGGTCCGTGGTTTGAACCCGACCCGTGCTTCTCGACTTCCCCTGTCTAGGCTTGAGCAACCTGGCAGTGCCCCAGCCCTCGGGCTTCCTTCGGGTTGCATGGCAACTAGGCACCAGAAGGATGTTACAGCTGAACGATTTTTCAATGTAAATTATATGTAACTTATGGGGATAATCCCTTTGTCTGAGGCTGTGGGAAGTGTTGTTATAATCAGCCGCATAGGCGCTGAACGATGACGTATCTGCTGCTTATTGTAGTGGTACTAAGCAGTGGTTCTGATACCGAGATAGGGACTTGTGAAGATTCGATGGATCAATTCTATGCATGACTGATTCTGTCCGCTTTTCCCTTGTGCTTGATGGAGGTACCATTAATGTCAGTCATTTCGCCACGAAATACGAATGGGTTTGTATACTACTTTCATATTTAAGTAAATCCTTTAAATCAGGCTATGTCGTCTTGCGAAGGGTCCTTACACTCATCCGCAGGAAGATGTGCACGGGGCTACGGATGCTTAGCCCCAGTGGGCTGTCAGGTAGTACAGAATCTGTTTTGGCAGCAGCACGACGTTACAATACTGTCAACTAATGACTACATGGGGATGGTTCCTTGTCTTCCAATCAGTCCTCAAAGTAGTCCATTGTGTATGGTCGAAGGCGGAATCATTCCACGTTCGGGCATTTATCAAGGTCCGCTTGTTTGTGTTAGCAGTGCAGTAAGTACACACGGGACAAATAGCACCGAACTGGCACGAGCAGCTGCAGAACGAATCAGTTGAACCGATCACACAAACAGAAGCGAGTGACTGATGAGGATGTTGGGGCAACGATCTGTGTACTCGTTAAAAACCCACTGCTTCTCCTTAGTAAAAGGAGATCCCCCTGGTTGAAGTGAAAGAAAAACGTGCATCCGTCTATCGCAATTGAGTTGAAAGGGCTATGTGGCGAACCAGTACTTAGGCCGCAGACTTTTGTCCTAACCCATTTGTGCCTTTCCTATATGGCGTTCACTTTGGCACATAATGCTCATAGTAGTGTGTCGAAGTCTACCAAGGTTGATGTTGGAATTGAGCAGGAAATCTTGATGGCTTAATGTCGGTGCGGTGGATCTTGTGGGAAGTCAAATTACATTCAGCTTGTCACGGCTGCAGCACTTGTGTGGTTTTCTAACGTACGGCAACTTATATTTAGTTGAAAAAGGCCCTCTACCTAATTACACAACCTTGGATCGCCAGCGTTTCCTTGTCGGTTTTTTTAGCTTAACGTTTTACTTAACTTAAGTCAGTCGTAATGAAACTTAGCTTATTAAGTACACCGAGAATGCCACTGCTTGGACAGAAGTGGCTATATCCCCTGCCATGTGCGATAGGGTCCCAACAATGGACACCGGATTTTCCGACGCAACTCATCATCAACTGTCGAGCCACTCTGTATTTCCTGACATTTGGAATCTACCTCTGGTTGTCTGTATACACCAAGATAAAGAGCTACATGAAATGCCGCAGCAAGTTGTAAAGTTGTTTGTCGTCCATCCGGTATTGTTGTTATCCCCCTCAGTTTCCGGCGCTCCTATGCTTTCACTATCCTTTGTTTGCATCGACCTGTGCTGACGTCGTGCATAGATTTTCCGATTGGCTTTTGTGTCGGTTTTTAAAGCGCCAGTTATTCCTTTTTCTGTGTGTACTGTATTATATATGTTGCACTATGTATAGACCAAGAGTATATGCACCACTTTCTTCACCAACCTGCTAATTCGTCTACTCATCACATCTTTCATTTAGGCGTGCATATGCCGTCCTATTCACCCTATGGTAAGGTATTTTGTTGGTTAGGCGCTCTGTTTGCCTTTAGATGAGCCCGCGCTTCATCACTTTGACTATAGCACTTCATATTTCGTGATCGTTTAGTTTTTGCGGCATGCTTCAGTCCTAGTTGCCTGGTCTTTTGCGCGTAGCCTGCTTGTGAGCCCAGGAATGCTGTTCTGTCACTGCTGACCGCTCCGCAATGTGACTGATTTGCCTCCCGAATGTATTACACTGCCCCAGTGTTTCTATGTGCATGTATAATGATTTGCAACCTTTTTCTCGTTCAAATGCCTCAGTTCGGCCCATTGAGAGCTTGAGAGTACCAGTGTATTGTGTGTCCGATTTGTCCTGGCCGGAATCTTTTTGTTCCACGTTATGGTTTGTGTTACTCACTGTTCCGAATTACCAGCCATCAACTCCATATTCCAATCACAGGTGTCCCGATGTATGGCTTCTACCCCGCATACCCTCCCGTTTGTCCAGGACAGATGCCTCAAATGCCAGCCTTCCCGATGATGCCTGATGCGTGCAGACCTGGTCAGCCTCCGGCACCAAATCCACCCCGCTCATAACTGTGTTCTCCCTCCTCGTATCTCTTGCCCTTGCACCACCGTTCGATACCGTCACACAGATACACTTGTGTTTACTGTACTGTTCTACATCACTCTGCTTTGTCCGTCGGTCAGCTTGCTTTCGCTATTTATTCAGTGTTTTCTCCATAAAACTGACTTGAGTGCATGAGAATCTGAACATTTCCAAACCGGATAAATCGCGGTCTCCTTCGCTCACCGATTATTTCACTTGACCCATTTTTTTACCCACACGGACTGCGTTCAGCGGACGTTTAGGTCGACCACCATCACTGAATCCAATCGACATTTCTCGCTTTTCCGACCTCTTTCCATATCTCACACGGTTTTGTGTCCGTCAACCTGATGACTATTTTTACCTTCATGGCCTTTTGTCGATTAACCACGGATGATAACGCTGCAATAGTGGATGACTACGTTTTCGCTTGTTTTCTGTTGGTGCTTATGTTCGGATGATGGAGGGAGGGGTTGTGTCCAACGTTTCTTCCAGCCTCCGATCTGTTTTATTTCGCAAGGGTTAGTCTGAAGCCGAATATGCTTCATAAGGGAACAGTGTTACAGTCCGGACCTTTTCAGTTACAGCTTTCTCACAGAAAACTTAATAGTCCATCATTCGTCAACTACCCTCGTTTGCACACTGATTTGATTTTTCGCTCAACTAAATCCAGCTGAGTCCCCCGATTATGGTGTTCGGTAAATCGATGTGCTGCGCAATCCGCCTTGTATTTCAGTTGGTACGATGTTCGAAATACCGCAATACATATATAATATAGCACGCTACTCACAAGGTTGCTGAAAACTTTGGTGGCCCGTGACCGGTTTCGGCCTTGAAGCTCATCAGGTAGGCGCACTCCCCGAATTTCCGTCCTGCTTGTGGTCTACTTGAACCCGAATTAGACGAAAGTCCCATTATTTGTCCTCTACACGTAAAATCAAAGTGAACTGTTGGTCATCCTGCGTTGTGACTAACTCAGCTTGGGGACCTACGAAATAGCAACACAGTGACTTAGCCCACAGTCAAGTGGGCTCGGTAGTCTCATTCCTAGTGCTTGACTGTGAGGAAAGGGGCCAACACTATCCAACACTGGTGTTACAATCGCATGTGAAGGACCGCGCTTCTGTTCTACAAACCCACAGTTTTGATGCAATTAATGCGCGGAATTTCAACGCAGCCCCTCGTAGAAACTTTAAATCGGAAATGCCGACAACCCAACCCACTGAATTTCGAAGAGTTTCTCTACTTCTTGGATCAGCATTACATAGCTGCAGCTATCACCCGACACTCTCGGAGGAATGCGAACCGAGTTGTGTCTAGTAAGGCTGTCACTCAATTGTTGTAATTACACTGTCAGCTTTTTACTCATGGAGAAGTTTCCAGTGAAGTCGGTCGATATCGGTCTTCTACAAAGTGAAAGAGATTTGATGACGCAGACATCTGGGACACACGCTACGATTGTATTATGTTGTACAGTTCGTAGTTGCCACCATTTGAATATGGATAAGGGTTGTGCAACCGATTGGCTATTGTTACCCACTTGGTACGCATATTAGTGAATACCCCCCCAACTACGCACAGGAGTTCAAAGTGAGCTTTATTCTGAAAGTTAAACGACGCACAAACCTTCGGTATCATCATTTACTCCCTTCTGTTGCGTCGGATTCCGTCCACTACTATAATTCCGCCACTCCGAATAAGGCACAGAAGATGACGCTCCTCACGGAATGCGTAAACCCAACTTAAAACTGTTTGAAAGTTGCAATATTCCGAGGGCTTCATTGACTGGAACTTCGTTCCACAAAGTTCACCCATGCCAACAAAGCCAAAGTGGAGAAGTTAGACCAAAAGCAGCGGGACGTACTACGAGTGGTCGTGCTACGATGCGATCTGGAGGTAAAGTCGTACTGTTGTTTGATAGGAGTGTGAAAGCAGTAAGATGCTTTCCCCAAGCGACCAGCATGTCCATATTAATGAAAGCAGCGATGCTGCCTTCCCCCGAGGAAAAACGGGTTAGAAAAGAAAAGGTCCAAAAGCCGCACACTGCGATCACCCAAGAGTTGACCATGAACGTCGGTGCCTTATTCAATAAGTTCAAATTACTTTAAAACCAAAGAGTTTGGTGCAGCTCAAAGAACACCTGCTATGTGCAGCTGCCTCCGAAGTGAGACCGTAATACCTCATTCTATGTATTCTCGAGTTGAGTGAACTCCCTGCAGGCGAGCAGGTCAGACTACTGAGCCATCGTCTCGTGAAGGGTCCCCGATGAAAATCCTGCTTCCCTCTGCCTGTCGAGTCAGAGGCTAGTGGCGGGGTCCCAAAATAAAACCCCACATCTTCCCGCTGCCTTGTGAGTCAGGTTGTTGAGTCAAAAGCTGGAAGTGGGTACCTCATATAAACCATCTTCCTCTTCCTGGTCAACCGGGAAGTATTTGCTCGCACAGTTCTGTGTCCCTCCCCAACTCCTCCCTATCACACAAGCCAATGTTGCTGGTCCTGACGGACGGGTCTTGTGCACCCCGCTTCCTAATAATAAGCAAAATAGGACCTTTTTAAACTCGAGATCCTTTGTACATAGGAGCTTTCAACGTCCGTACTCTACGTTATATTGGCAGACAGGCAATGCGCGTTGAAAAAATTATACTCCCTTAAACTTGATTTATGCCGTGTCTCCGAAACGTGCATACAAGACGCAAGCCTGTTTATGCATCTCAGAACGCCAAGGACGAACTCATGTATCTCGTATTTCTCCCCCGTGTGTCCTGTGATCCATAAGCGATTACTAGTGGGATATATGGCGTGAGAGTTGCACTCAGCCCCAGAGCCGAACTCATTTCGCTGTATTGGCTCCCAGTGAGCAAACATCTTTGCGCTGTACAGTTATCCAGCTCAATCAAGCTCAATTTCTTTCGACATGTGAAACGGTTCCTGTTTGTAGCATTAGTGTATGCTCCAATAGACTAGTTTGTCGCTGAGAGGGATACTTTCTGTCGGGAGATATCCGGGTTCATCCGTCGAGCAAAATGCACTGACATTTTGATCCTCTCGGGCTATATGAATGCCCAAGTCTGTCATCTGAGCGAACCCCATTTGGGCGGTCTATTCGATGCTTGTCCAACAGACAATAAAGCGCGACTCCTCTAAGCGTGTGCTGATGAACTGTTTCTAGCCAGTACGAACTTTTAGCATAAATGTTCGCGTCGCCCAAGCTGGCGGTCACTAACTGCCAGTTAGTGATCCAGTTAAATCACGCTAAACCACCGGCGGAGAGCAGCAGTTCAAGACTACCTTTCCCTCCAGAGTACTCAGCTTATTTCCTATCACGGCATGATGCGCGCACGCCTGACAGTTTTTTCCCCTCTCAGGTCCTTGCAAGTCAGCAAGAAGCATACCAATCTATAATCTCGGAAGAACAACCATAGCTCAACAGTATTGATCTGAGATAGCTCAACAGCTCTCTACAGTAAACCAATACTGCAGGAAAGCCCTTCGCTGTGTAATTATTTATCAGCAAACACGAACCAAGCGGTTACAAGCCATTAGACACAAAAGTAAACATTCTAAAGCGTCCTATTGAACTTTCCTGCATGTTCTTTGAATATTAAGCAATTATAACGAATACTACAAAGCGGTTACTTTCGTGGTAACCTTCATCTTCCGTCACATGCGGAAGTGCAGTCTGGACATCGAACCGTAGGCTACTTGTATGCCCCAGCAGTAGTATACAGCGTTGCAAACCTTTCCCCATTCAAAGATTGCGGTTATACCTCCGATTTTTCATTTGCCTCAGTTAGGTCGGTCTCAGAAGCTGGTATGTTTGGTACCTCTTCGGAGATCGTTTACTCCTTTCGACCCCGGACCCTCCTGAATCGTATAAACGTTCCCTTGCCGGTTGGTAAAGACAAACGGGCCTTACCACTGACTGCCCAACTTACGCAACTCCAGTCCACTCCCTCCAGGATTCTGATAATCTTTCCATTAGACCTTTGCGCTTTTGGGGATTGGTTGTGCCTTCCTGCCTGCTGTTTTCTGCCCCGTCCTTTCCTGAACTGCGGTCAAGATTTCCTTTCCTCTCCTAGGGCTTTCGGAGGCAGGTGTGTTGTCGTCCACAACCCAATTCCCATAGATTCATAAGGCGCGGATGTCGACTATACATCAACATGAATGGAGACTTTCCCGTGTTTGACCGGAATGACGCACGCTGTGCTAACAACACTATCGAAAAGTTCACTTCCCATTCACCTCCTATGGGCGACGGCCACTCCTTAATCGTTCGTACACTTGTAGCTGTGCTCGGCGCGCGACGTTTCTGCGAAGATATTTGGTGTTCCTGATCCACTCAAGGGGTTGGTAGTCTGTCTCGACGTGAATACTTTGTCCCAAGAAACCTGGCCTCCTCCATATCTAGGTCCAAGACGATGGCTCAACATTCTCAATAGTCGAGTACTTTTCTCAGCATCACTCAGGACACGACTGGCATATTCGATGACCCTATCCCCCTTCTTTAGGACGTCACCGATACCCCGGTCACTAGCGTCCATCGCAACAGTCAACACTCGCCAACCCTGGGCAATTTGAGGGTTAGTCGCTGATCCACCATCCGCCTTTCGACACGTTCGAAGGGCTTATGTGCTTCCCCTGTCCATTCGAATTTCCCATTCTGACACAGCAAGTCGTAAAGTGGATCGCCAATCGTGTTGAAAAGCATGACAAACCGGCTGTGGTATGCTGCTCGTCCGAGAAGCCGCCGTAAGGACTGCTTTGAACTGGGAGCCACACAGACCTCAGTCTTTGTCAGTTTTTCCGGCACTGGACTACTTACCCTCAACCCGAGCAGTGTCACTGAACTTCGAGCGAGCTGTGTATTGACTTCATTTGTCCACAGTCCAGCTTCGAGAATACGTGTCAATATGACTTTAAGGTGAGCGACATTTTCTCGTTCCCAGTCGCTATGCACGACGATATCGCCTCCGTACACAGCAACATTCTACAGTCCCTTTGTTAAACTCGATGCCTTGACTTGATAGCTAGTTGCCAGTATCCGGAACGTAAGTCGAACACGGTGGATTGCTGGAACAAATGGGAAATCTCCGCAACCAAAGGAACAGCTACAACCCAATTTACGGTCAGTTTATTCAAACGCCAGAAATTAGTATTTCCCATTTGTATTTTTCACAACAGGGAGTTGGGCACAGTTGGCTTTCTCGACTATGCCATTTTCCAGGATTTCTTAAAACTGTTTATGGACCTCTTACCTAGATGGGATGGTAGTTGGCGGGGGGCGTAAGATCGAAAGCTTTCGAACAAGAGGTGGATTTTGCGTTGAATCCAAGGACAGCAGCCAAACGGATCTTCATCGCCTGTCCGGAGTACTTCTCGACCATACCGTGCTGACGGAAGCTTACAGACACGCACACACTTCGCTTACGGCAGTGGTTGGGTAAAATTCAAGCTCGACTGACATATACTTGGTGACCATTTTCCCCAGCTCGAGTCCCACCACGGATCCTGCACTATTTATGAAATCTGGTCACCTTCGCCCGGCCCCTGAGGAGGGTTGGTCTCCGATCTAACTATCTGCACAACTTTCTAGAAATCCTCCAGGAAAGCTTGCAAATTCCCGTTCTCGAAAAGTTGTGGCCAGAGGAAATTCATCCGTATCCCGGTCACGGCGCTAAATGAAAGGAGGAAAGCCTTTCGCTGTTTATTAACAAATACACACCAAGTAGTCACAAGCCATTGGACACGAAAGTAAACATCTCTCGTCCACAATTTTTCAAAAGTTAACATTCTCAGGTGTCCCTTCAAGTTTTTCCCGAGGTTCTGTGAATATTAAGCAATCAAAAACGAACACTAGAAAGCGGTTCCATAGTTTTTATGATACCGGTCACTTTCCGTCAAATGCGAGAGTGGAGCCTGGACACCGAACCATAGACCACTTACAAGCTTTGTCAGTAGTATTCACCGGTACACTGGTAGCCAGCACCTTAGTGAAGCATGAGAACATGTGAAAGAAGCTATACTGGCGGCGTCTTGTGATGTTTGTCAGAGTTCTCCAGAACAATAAAATGATCACTGGATATTCATTAAATCGCCAGTCCTGATTGATGCCAAGAAGTCCGTACAAGCAGGCAACAAGTACAATGTTGCGTGCGAATCCCTCAAACGCCAAATAGTGAAGAGTCTAAGTAAATGCTGAGAGCTCTGTTGGACGTCGAAAACTCGGGAGATGATCAAGGTTATTGCTACGGGAAACAGTCGTGTCTCGTATCAACTAATGCGATCGGCTGGCCCTAGGAAAGTAACGGTCAGTGAAACGATGAGTGAAAAAGGCGGTTCATTAACTCACTTGAGAAAGCACCTACTGGAGAGATGGACCGAAGAAGAGCGAAAATTGGAAGAACAGTTTTGATGACTTCTGCAACAGCCTCTGGAGATAGTGAAAACGGGCGAATCGAGCGCAAACCTTAACCGTCCGTCGGAAGAATGTATAAAGTATGAAGTATCTGTACCGGAACATGAGAAGGAACCAGAATCAGGCAGTCTGTATCCAGCACACTTCAAAGAAGGCGGAGAACTCATATTGACCTACCTAACACAGACAACTCGTGCGAAATGTGAATAAAAAGTGTCTGCAGGATGTACCGGAACATGAGAAGGAACCAGAACCAGGCAGTCTGTATCCAGCACACCTCAAAGAAGGCGGAGAACCCATATTGACCTACCTAACACAGACAACTCAGGCGAAATGTGAATAAAAAGTGTCTGCAGGATGGGGAACGTCGACAGTTATTCCTATCGTTAAAAAGGGTACACGGGTAACGTGTGAGAGCCACCGTGGTATCAGCCTGGTATCTGCGGCATCGAAGGTGCTTTGTGGTCTTAGTCTTTGAAGGTTGACTAAAAAAAGGGGGAGACAGAATCTTGGAAACGAAGCTGGGTTGCGTCGTACAATAGGATGCACCAACCACAGTTTTGCCCTCTGACAGATTCTGGAACAGTGACACTGCTTCCAGCGACCAAAAATGGTTGTATTCCTTAACTTGAAAACTGCTTTTGACCCTATGGACTGTCAGGCACTATAGCAATGTCTATGGGGAAGATGTGTTCCCAAAAAATTCTTGACCCTCAATAAGGCGCTGTACGTGATATCCCGCGGTCCACGGAAAGCTCTCGCCTGAGTCCACCACATCAACTGGTTTCAGACAGGGCCTTTTCTCTTTCACCTTTCCTTTTCAACTTCATCATTGATACGATCATGGAAGACTCGATATCAGCCTCTAATGCCTGTGGGGTCGAAGTGCTCTTGGGGCGTTCTCTCACAGATATCGACATAGCTCTTCTTGGATCTGACACCGTCGTAATGCAAGCGATATTAAATAATCTAAATAATCTAGCCTTCTGGAAAGTTCTGCTGCAAGACTAAGTGGACTTTGACCCCAACCCCATGCTTGCCGACAAACCGATTGAGGTGTTAGATAAATTTGTCTACCTGGGTAGCTGTATCAGTCCGGGTGGTATCGCGAGTGGGAAGGCCAGAGCTGCATCGCCTGAGGTGTAGGCGTGACATCAGCTTATCCGTCAAGGGTCGAGTTCACAGTGCTGTGGTGCGCTGAGGACGTCAAAATCTTTCGGTGTTTGACCATCGACATCCTTGAAGCATTGCCTGAGTCTGGTGGGAATATGGGATCAGCAATACTGTAGTACGTCGAATGGTTTTCGGAAGAAATAACTCACTCACGATAGGTAAACTGATCACACTCCATAGGTGGCGCTGGCTTGGCCACGTGTTCCGTATGCCAGTCGACCGACTTCCTCGAAGTGCTCTTTTCGGACAAGCACATAGAGTGTGCAAACGGCCACGGGTCGTCAGACAATGAGTTGGCAGCAAAGTATGAAGGTTGAGCAAACTCGGCTTCGGTGGTCGTTGCCGTCTCCCTGGGTGGGGACCCCGAGACTGGACACGTCAATGGTTAGAAACTTTTTGAGACAGTCCAGTCGAGCGCTCAGTGGCACTCGTTCATCAAAGGTATTGTCTTCAATGCATAGCTTCTCCCTCAATCTTCCCAAAGAAAAGTTCACTGACACCCCTGTGTTTACGCATCAAGCATGTCAGCTACCGCCTCTAATGCGCGGCTATCTACTTCACCTCTCCAAATTATTGGTGAACGAAGCTCTGGTAGCTGGAACCATTTTACGGCAAGTAAGCAGTTTTTACAGCTGGTGTTGATGACGATGATGACGGAATGCGTAACACATGGCCTGTCACCTTCTCTAGCAACGCTAGACGCATTCCTCGAGTGAAATACCATCGAGGCTCCTTGCAGTAGCAGCGAAAGAGCAAGGGCAACAGAAAATTATTCTATGGACAGTTGACAGATCGCCATAGAGATTTCGTAATTCTATAGACACTCCTGAATACTGAATACATCCTCAGTTCTTGAACGGTTGCACGTGACTTAGATAAGACCATATCCCTTTATTCAGCTTCTGTGCGTATGGGGAGCACATAGGCTCGATTTGGCATTGGTGTATGAGTATCGGCGTCATTCGGATACTGCATTAGTATTATCATCGAGACGAGTCTGAACATTAAACTGCCACGTATGCAGAGGCTGCGCCTAACGGCACCTACATGCCCACAGAGACCGCTGGACATAGCAGAGGTTGATCAGACTGACAAAAAGGCCCGAGGTTGCTTTCACACCAAACACTGCAATCCACGGGTGGCTTCCTATGGATTGGTACACAGCAGAGTGGCTGGATAACCTCTGCTTACCCCATCAATATGAACTGGTTACATCAGTTAAGCTATGTAGAATCGGAAACAATCTTGAATATAATGCTGAGTATTTACGAGGTCGTGTTGTGTTAAATCCTCTAACGGAAGATAACGAAAGTATGGGCGCCTAACTGAGCTCTAACTGTGCAACACGCGGCAAGTGCATCATCTCTACGGGGACTTTCGGTCCACAAACACTCACTATCGGGTCTCAATCCGAAACGCTCATGGGCCAGTCGGAAACATCAATATTTTGGCACAGTAGCCGGAGGCTATCCATTATAAGGCGAAGTCGAATTTGCTCAGACTCTGGATTGTACATATGATGCCGTTATGCCAATGGAATTCATGACCTGCTTCCTGATCTGTTACTCGATACGTTCGCACTGCTTACTTTGAAGTCTCCATCGGCAGAAAGCCAAAGGAAGCTAGACTCTCATGACCTAATTGAATGTAGGCAGCATCCGATCCAAAGCTTGGACGTCACACCTGACCTCAAGTCATATGAGCATTGATTCATGTTAAATGAAGAAGGTTACAGGGTAAGAGAAACAGGCATAAACACCAATCGCATCTGCCCGTCACGGACACGTGACCTCCAGACCTTGTGTTATTGGCTGTTTGCTTCATGTCACTCTGAATATATTGTCTTCACCATTCGCCCCTCGTCGACTGATGTTTGTTTGGAGCCACGTGATCATGCTTGGAAGCTCTGTTTTGTATAGACCATTTCCACTGGATCTGTCAGTCATGTAATGCACCTGCTCTGCTCGTTGGACGTCACACCTGACCTCAAGTCATATGAGCATTGATTCATGTTAAATGAAGAAGGTTACAGGGTAAGAGAAACAGGCATAAACACCAATCGCATCTGCCCGTCACGGACACGTGACCTCCAGACCTTGTGTTATTGGCTGTTTGCTTCATGTCACTCTGAATATATTGTCTTCACCATTCGCCCCTCGTCGACTGATGTTTGTTTGGAGCCACGTGATCATGCTTGGAAGCTCTGTTTTGTATAGACCATTTCCACTGGATCTGTCAGTCATGTAATGCACCTGCTCGTTCAACTGTTTTACATACTCAGTCTCAACTCGACACATGAGCCACAGTTCAATCATGGCCGGCGATGGCAAAGCTCTGGACCACCTTGTACAAGCATTTGATGCGGTAAAATTCATTAAAACAGTTAAAATTGAATAATGACTGACCTCCCGTCCAACCGGATGGTATTTGTGCACCACCTTGGAAATGCCGCAGGGTTTGATCCTTTTTGGGGTCTCTCCCCTTCTCAATGCTTCTTATACTATAACTCTCAACCACTTACTCCAAATTTTCGCAAAAATGTACCTGTAATTTAAACCTCAATAGACCTGTGGTTGGTGGGCAGGAGAATTTGCATAGCCGATTAGCTCGAAATTTTCCATTCGACTATTACTTCTAAATCCCCGATTGTCTTTCGAAGTGGTTCGCTATAAGAACAGTGATGCAGGGCCGATCCTTCACAAGGCAGCCAGTCCCCCTCCACCAACGATGTTTTGGACGACCGGATGCAGCGCGCGTTATCCATCTTCAATCCAGTGCCTAAGATTATAGTGAAGTGTTTCGCATCATCGTATGCTTTGAATGACGACTTTGGAGCAGACTGTCACTTATGCAGCTCGAATGAGACAGAAAATCAAAGTCTGGTAATCAGCCGCCCATAGCATTTCCAGCTATGAAGTTGGGATTGAATCAAGATTGATAGGTTTGGGACCATGTTACAATACTCGAAGTTGATTGGACACCTGCTGAAATACCAGCATGCTGCTCGACAAAACAAACAGCGTACGAGATTCACATATCATAGCAATTGGACGAAGGTTTGAAAGTGTGGACTGGCTGACTCAGTGGACTCCTCGGTGCACTCTCCAATTCATCGTTCTTGAGTTGATAAACGGTAACATCACGTCCAGAAATGGTGACTGAGTGTCTTCAGTCGTGATTGCGTGATGAACATTCACGCTTAAAGGATCTAAGCCAATCGACACGTTCGGTTAGCAAGTTCCAAATCATGGACGTGTGATCTATACACACAATATACATAGCAAACTGGGAAGCTGAATTACACAAGACTACTATCAAACTCAGTCAGGAAAATATCATCTAAAACAGACCCAGTGACTCGGGAACACTGAATCGAAGTGTACCCGAAATTTCAACTGGGTCAACTAGTGCGCACATTTCTAAAGGTTTGTCCATTGCGATGCATATGGAGTTTAGTGAGCTCTTTTCCAAAGCCACTTACAAGCAGGATTCATTAGAAAGTGAGTGAAAGTATATAGGTAATATATATATATATATATATATATATTACATGCATCA